TTCCTTCCTTCCTTCCTTCCTTCCTTCCTTCCTTCCTTCCTTCCTTCCTTCCTTTATTCATTCCATTCCTTTTTCCTTCCATTCCTTTTTTCCCTCCATTACTTCCTTCTGTTTCTTTCAGTCATTCGTTCCTTCGTTTCTTCGTTTGGTCCTTCCGTTCCTTTCAGTCGTTCGTTCGTTCGTTCTTTCATTCCTTCCTTCCTTCTTCCATTACTTCCTTCCGTTCGTTTCGTTTCGTTTCGTTTCGTTTCCTTCCTTCCTTCCTTCCTTCCTTCCGTTTCTTTCATTCGTTCGTTCCTTTCTTCCATTTCTATATTTGCAGTGTCTGCGCTTGTGTGTATTTTGCGTGTGTTAAAAAGACAAATTGAACGGTTTATTTAAATGAATTAAATGATCAGTTTAAAATCAAAGAATTAAAATGATAAAGAGATGCTCAGTGCTTGAAAGATACTGAAAAAAATGTCGAGGAAGATGTTTGGATGGAGACAAAAAAAGAAAAGAAACAGAAAAAATAAGCGCAAAACATTAACACACACACACACACACACACACACACACACACATATATATATATATATATATATATATATATATATATATATATAATAGCGCACAGTAAAGTGCTGGTGGTAATAAAACAGTGCTCGATCTAAAATAACAGAGCTATATATATATATATATATATATATATATATATATATATATATATATATATATAATTAAATAGAAAGGAAGCCAAGACGAACATAATAGAAACGTGAAACTCAAAATCAAAATCCCTAATCGAACAAATCAAAAACAAAATGGCGGACAATGCAAGCGAAAGGCAAGCAAGTAAATAGATTCGTTGCGAAACGGACAAAAAGCAAATAGAAAACGCCTACGTCTTAGCCAAACATGCCGATGATTATTCTTTGCCTTTGCATTTATTTTTATCCGTTTATTTACAATGGACAAACGTTACGGAACGTTAATATTAACAATGGCATATATTCTTTTTTTTTTTAAATAAAAATAAAATACGTAAAATGTATTGTTTTAGTCTGGGAAGCATGTTTAAAAACAATGCAACATTCTAAGTTGTCGCCATTTTTAAAGAGGGGAAATTTTTAATTCCCTATGGTGGGTAAAAGTAATCGTTTTTTTTTTGCTACTAAGCGACAATTTAAACTGAAAAAGTATTCTTCATACAACCTAAGCTAAGCTTAACAGATTATAAAACCGAATAGACGAAAGCGGAAAAATAAAGACTGTGTTACGCCATTCTATTAAGTTGGTGAGTTTATCTTTTTTAAAGAGTCTTGTTTTCTACTTGAACGAATATTATTTTGAAAGATTAGATCCTGTAATGATAATGTTCTTCAGTTGCATTTCAATTGTTGTGTTACAGTTGAAGCTGTTACTAAGAGTGAAAGTGTTTCATTTTTTTAGTGGCAGTATCTCATTGCCTTTGACAGCGACTTTCCTCTGCTAAAATGTGATTCGAAAACAAAACAAGACAAAGGTATCGTTGAGAGCAGCGTTATTTTTTTTATAATTTCCACTCAATTTTGTTCTTGGAATTTACTCCCTTAATACTGACAGTACCCAGTGTTACTGGTAATCATACTAGAACCGGACCTTTCAGCGCATTTTGACCGAAAAAAATATATAAAATAAAATTTTAGCAGGGTTCAAACTCGAATCTCTACTGACGGATCAAAATGCCTGAATACTTTTAGCCACAAGATAATCTTTATCCAACAGATTAGATTAAGCTCTGGTATTTTCTTGCGAGGATCAGATAGTAAAAAATAAAAAAATATACTTTGTCCCTTTAAGACGTTGCCCATGGCTCTCCACAATTTCCTGTCCTTCATAGCCCTTAGTAAATTGTATCTTTTTACTATCGCTCCTAAACCCTGCTCATTTTAAAAACATATTAGGTAGATTATGCGATTTTGACCTCTCTTCCTCTTGCCTTCAATATGTCCTGTGAGTTTTTTCTAAGCCCTCTTTCCTCTTTATTCGCCTGAGAAAAATCAGGTCTCTTTTTGATATTAAGTATAAGTGTTGTTGTTGTTACCATATTCTCCAAAACTTCCTTGTTGGTCACATGTTCCGTCCATGATATTCCGAGCATCCTTCTAGAGAAACACATTTCTGTTGATTCAAGTTTATTTTTCATATGTGAGATGTTGTCCAGCATTCAGTACCGTTTTCTTTTTCTTCGGTACCCTTTTCTTTTTTTCCATAATAAATACCGTCTAACCTTAACTACACTGTATCTCGCTCTCTCTCTTTCTTTCTCTCTCTCTCTCTATATATATATATATATATATATATAATATATATATATATATATATATATATATATATATATATAGAATAAAATAAAATGAAGTTACCTCATTCTAATGGCTATTTCGACCCACAAGACACCCTTATTCTTCTCCATGTCTCTGAGTTGACAAGGCGTACAAGTAGGTCTTGTGGGTCGAAATAGCTATTTTCGAATGAGCGAGCTTTGGATTTTTACTCTATGTAATTTATATGCTCTGTTATAATAAATACATTGAGCTCTTTTTGTTGATGAGGTTTAATATTTTATATTATTAGGATTAACTTGGATTATTTACCTATGGATTATTACCTATATATATATATATATATATATACACCACTTAACCTTGACTCTCTCTCTCTCTCTCTCTCTCTCTATATATATATATATATATATATATATATATATATATATGCAATAATATAGTCAGGGTTGAGTACAGTATATACATACAAATAATATATAATATAAAAATATATAAAATATCTAATAAACATGTATATATATTATATATACATATATATATATATATATATATATATATATATATATATATATATATATATGCTCGACTCTCCCATCGAATTTGACGTATGAAGGTCAAGCAGATCAGTTCCTAGAAAACCGACAGCCAGACGCCAGCACATGAGATTCGATTATAGTGGTGAAGGTTTCGTGCAGGAGCATCCACACTTTTTGAAGGGCCGAATACAGAGACCTGGTGCACTAAGTGCCACAAGGTCCCCAAACGACCCTCCGCAGGTTTTGAATTCAGAGTTGTCCTTCTCCTAGACCAGTTGCCATCCAAGGCTATAGAACCCAGTCTGTCCTGCTATTTTACCTATAGCTGGAGGGAGAAGAAGAGTATTCACACCTTTCCCAAGGGTATTAGCACGTAAGTGAATGTAATGGATTCGACTGTAATTCGAACTCGGCTCTCCGATTCCCCAATCCAAGTCCTTCTTGTCCTGTATCTGTCCCGTGAGTATCAGATTTTCCAAGCCCTCTTTCCTTATTATGTACCCTAGAAATCTCAACTGTTTCTTCCTGATGTTAAGTATTAGTTATCCATTTATTCGAAAACTTCGCCTTTGTTCACTCTACGCTTAAATTCGTAAATACGGGATAAAGAAAGATGAGAGCTCCTTAGAACAATTACAATGAAAACATTTGTAACAAAGGCCCATTACGGCACGGGAATGTGACTAAAGTCGAGATGCCAGGTCAGTACCGATATCATGGGAGATTCTTCTTTGGATTTTATTCTAAACTCACTCACGCTCCACTTGCGCGCGCGCACTCACACACACACACACACACACATATATATATATATATATATATATATATATATATGTATATGAAGAAATATAGTCTTAAGGTGTGCTATATTTATGGGATAAAGTGCTCAATATCAGAGATGGAGTGTGTGTAAATATAAAAGTGAGCCTAGAAATCAACTCTTAGAGGCGACAGTCTGTTTCATGCTAGATGCAATCGGTTGGCCTGACGATTTTGTCTAGCATGAAACAGATTGTCGCCTCTAAGTGTTGACTTTAATGTTCACTTTTATACTCTGTCCTGGACATTGAGTTCTACCTGGATTCTATCCTCTCAGAATTTTTTATTCAAAAAATTTACATATATCTGTATGCACCTATATATATATATCTATATATTTTGCATATGTATGTGTATATTTACCACTAATATTATCTATCTATCTATCTATCTATCTATCTATCTCTCTATATATGTCTCTCTCTCTCTCTCTCTCTCTATATATATATATATATATATATATATTAGATATTTGCTATATTCAAATGCAGTGTTGGGCATAGAGTGTTTATAGCTATAGCATGTAGGCATATGAATCAACACTGCATCGTGAGTGGCAGTTTGAAGCATTCATTTCGCTCTTCAGTACGAGTATATATTTGGCGCCTCACGGTCTTTTTTGCCAGTAGCTCCCCCTCCAATTTTTGGACTTGTAACAATCTAAGATGAGCTTAGCAAATATCTAAATTTTACTTTCTTTCTCGGAACGTTTCTCACTTCAAATGCATCTGCCCCATAACTTATGCTTCAAAAAGGGTCGACATATTTCTATTTTTTGCAGTGACTTTTATTTTCTCTTTTCCCGTCTAAACTCTACGCCATTTTTTGACTTTTTTTTTCATTCTTACAGCCATTGTTTGGTGTATTTACTGTTTTGCATTTTTTACGCTAAAAAGCTGTATTTAATATTCTTTAGGCGTGACAGGAGAAAGCATTTACGTTTATATACAATTTTTTTTTGCATTTGATTTTTACAAATGTATATATATTTTATCGGCCATATTTGCGTTCTTTTAAAATCATTTTTTCGCCATTTTTAATACATGTCGGACAGTTGGGCAGACCAAAAAATAACACACGACCTTAAAAAGGCTTTAATTCTAAATCTACGTATAATCGGGCAGCCCTGTTATATCCCATTCATATCTCGAAGCCGATTTTGGATTAGAATTCGCATCGCTATCGAGGTGATGGGTTGGTGATGTAAAGAAAAAAAAAGAAGCTATTTTTTAGTCATTTGTTTCTGTAACTCGATGCTTGGCTTTTTTTCTGATGGCAAAAAAAAAAGGCGGGGCGATTTTCGCGGGAAGAGGATGACATGTTTGTTGGTTTTACG